TTAAGAGCTGTGGAGCAGCACCTGGGTGGCTCAGTTGGATAAGCGTCTGACTCCTGATTTCGGCTCAGGTCATGATCTCAGGGTCCTGGGATGGAGCCCGAGTCAGGCTCTGTGTTCAGTGTGGAGTCTGCTTGAGATTCTCTCTTCCATTCCCTGTGCCCCTCACCCTGCTTGTATACTCGCGTGCTCGCTCTCTTTCGGTAAATAAATACGAGAAGATAAAAAACTGGAAACTCACCAATACAGTATTATAAAAATGAATGTTTCAAGTTTCTTTACAGCAAGAAAAAGAAGGTAGAATAGATTTTTCTTTAATGAGATAAAGTGATTAGATAGCTCACGTAGAACCTAAAACTTAAAATTTTATTGTAATTTCTTTGGTAAACATCAGTTTATAAAGGTGTGCCTTGCTCTGAAAATGTAGCAGTGCTTACATAATAATGGCTAATGTGTAAAACTACAAAACTAATTGGGTGGTACCTAATTATGAAAGGATTTTTTCTATCTAAAGGAGAGGAAAAAGAGCTCGCTGAAAGTCACTCGATTCCACAGAGCAGTATTTCTAGAGCTTTGAAGCAGGACACTTCATGGGTGCTGTTGCTCAGCTTTACTCCTGGGCAGTGTGATGGTCGGAAAGGGGACAGCTCAGGGTCTCAGCAGGGCTCATCTTGGAAGACAGATCAAGACACCGCTGGCCTGGCCACAGACGAGTGTGTAAGTACGCTGAGCCCGGTAGAGACTTTGGGCTCTAAAGCTTCCTGGTCAGAGAGAGGAGCCTGGTCAAGAGCAGGACCAACAGAACACAAGCTCCAGGCTTACTTCCTCAACTCCAGATCAACTCCACCTGGTGGACACCTTACACTTCCTGTATCAGATCCCAAATCCCACGTTCAGTCGCAAGCAGGCTCCTTGGTGAATGGCCTCACCAACTTCAGTTTCCCAAGCCAGGTTCTTGGATGCCGTTCTCAAATTGCCCCTTTCCCTACCCCAACCAGTGATTCACTTAACATCAACAATCTCCCCACTGGATAAGTTAGACAGAATGAAACTGTGCATTAGCTATGATTCCCTCATCTTAGAGCAAAATGTGGACCAAAAGCTTCCTTAACTCCACATCCCCCTCCTCCCTGTAGTACGGTCACTTGTTCACCACCACCTCTTGTTTCCCTTTACAGCAAAACTTCCTGCAGACACGATCTCCATTTGCTGTTTCCATGTCCTCACTGCCCATTCATGCTTCAGCCCCCTCCAGTTTTGTTCTTACCATTCTGCCACCCGCCATACTATGAAGCAGCTCAGGACAGACTACCAAGGGATAAGCAGCCACAGGGACCCTGGGGGATGAGGGGCTGTCTTGCACGTTCTGGCCGCAGCTGAGCTCCCAGCTGGATGCAGCTCCAGGAATGACTGGTTATACTGTGCGGGCAGAACTACCCAACTGATCTCAGTCAACTCACAAAATCGTGAAAAATAAACCGTTGTTTTCAGCCACTAGGTTTTGGGGTGGTTTGTTGCATAGCAATAGATAACACATTTCTCTACCTTCTTTCACTCAGTCTCTTGATGGCACTCAGTGTAGCTGATCATTCCTTCTTGAAATATTTAAATATTTGGCTTTCATCCTTCCCTCATTCCTGTTTTCTTCCTACCTCAGTGGCTGCTCCCTCTCAGCCTCAGCTCAGGCTTCTTCATCAGAGAGGCAGATCCTCGGGCTTCTCTTCTCAGTTTTATACCCCTACTGGGTGATCTCATCAGGCCTGGGGGTTTAACCATCTCTGTATTCCCAGCCCTACTTCTGACCTCTTCTACAAGTGCCAGACTCACAGATCCAAGTGCAGGCTGGGCATTTCCACTTGGATGTCTAGTAGGAATCCTCTAATTCTTCTTCCACCTTAAAACCCTCCATTACCTGGGTTTTAAACGGGCTTTGTTTTAATCAGGTATGGTAAGATGTGCACACATGGAGATGTCTGTTATGAAGGAAGATAGATGTTTTTATACTCACAGATCCCTAGTAACAGGAGGCCAGCACACCTTGCAGGGCTGCCTGCACAGGGAGGCACCAACGCTGGCCAGGAGGCAGAGGGAGTGGGGAAAATGTGGGCAAGAACCTTTATTGTGACTTCTGGGAGAAGCCCTCAGTGAGGCATGCAGCAGGCTTCTAGATTCCTAGAAATACGCAGGAGCTTTTCAAAGCCCCAGTGGACATCTCATCCTTCAGCTTTTCCTTTAAATTTTTGGTTAAGTGTATTGTTTGCCTCAGCTCTTATCCACTGTGTCAGTCCCCCAGTCGTGATGTTAAAACACCAAACCACCCCTGGGGAGAAGCCATTGGGACTGGGCTAGTTCCAGTGAGGACAAATAAATACAAGCCCTTTCAGGAGGGCCTTCCAGGGAACGGGGAGATGGGTCAAACAATGCAGTTTTGAAAAAGCTCCAGCCCCGTTCTGCCCTCTCTGGTACTGGTACCAGGAGTGTGGGCTGTTAGTTTTCAAGGCTGCCACGGAGCTGAGGAGCTAGGACCAGGGTAAGTTAAAATGCTACAAAGCTTGATGTTTTCACTTAGATTCAGCTGTTTTTCTTGACTAAATGTTAAACGAGTTGCTGCAAGACTTTAATTTCCAGAGCTCTGAAAACACGGATTCTGACCATTTTTGCCAGTTTTTCCCTGCGGCCACACTGCCACTGACGGGCAAACTTTCCGAGGTCCTTACTCCGCCATTTTCACTGATGTCACCCTTCAATATCAAAACCACAATTAAAAATTTTAAATTTAAATTAAAAATTCAATTTTTACAAAAAAGTTTCACACAACTTTACGGGGCACCTGGGTGGCTCAGTCGGCTGAGCATCCGCCTTGGGCTCAGGTCATGATTCTGGGGTCCTGGAATTGAGCCCCATGTTGTTGAACAGGGAAGCCTGCTTCTCCCTCTCCCTCTGCCCCTCCACCCCCCCCATCGTTGTGCTATCAATCTCTCAAAATCTTAAACAAATTTTTTACACAATTTTTAAAAATCCACAATTAAAAGCCAAGAGAAAATTGCCCCTCATCCCGTCCCCTAATTCATTTGTACGTTACTACACTTAACAGATTTTTACGGTTTTATGGTAATATTATATAGAATTTTAACATCATACCTATTTTCTTTCCCCACAATCTTTCTGTCCCTCATCTTTTTTCCACTTCCCTAGTACCTCTTACTGCATACTCCCCACAGCCTGTGTCAGTGCAAACTTTGGCAGTGTGCGCCTCTCCTCAGCTTTCTCCTTGCTCATTCAAAAATAGCCACATTCCCACACACATAGATGCTCTTTATGCTATTGATTTAGACATTTCTGTGCCGTTTCTTTTTTCCCTTAACGCATCATGGACATCCTTCTAGGTCATGCTTGTTAAGGCTGTGTAACAGTCTGGATAAGGATCAACCACGTTGCTCCCGGCACCATGCCTCCCCCCACATAAATTCCGCACATAACCTATCTACTGTTGCTTGTACTTCTAGAAGATTCCCAGAAGACAGACTGCTGGGTCAAAGGTCATGCGTAGTTACAAATTTTAATAGCTATTCCCGGACTCCTTTTGCAAAGGGCTCAAACAGCTCACATTTCTGTCAACAACCCGAGTGTGTGCCTAGGCTCCAAATGCTCTTTAAACACTTGGTCACTCCACTGGGCCGGGGAGAAGAGGAGAAACGGATCTGCTTTCTAGAAGGAGAGACAGACTCTTTTAAAAGGGGACGTTCACTGCGAGCCCTGAAGAAAAGTAGCACCGAAGTCCCACTGGCAATTCGGAGTGATTGCTGTCGTGTATGTGTGTGGGTGTGGGCGGGAGGTGGAGGTGACCCGGCCCGTGGCCCCCGCACCCCCACCCCGCGTCGTGTGTGTGTGTGTGTGTGTGTGTGAGAGAGAGCCCGACCCCGCCCCCCCCCCCCCCCCCCCCGCCTCGTGTGTGTGTGTGTGTGTGTGTGTGTGAGACCCGGCCCGTGGCCCCCGCACCCCCCACCGGGCGTCGTTAGGAGCCGTGATTGCTGTCGTGTGTGTGTGTGTGTGTGTGTGTGTGTGTGTGTGTGTGAGAGAGAGAGAGAGAGACCCGGCCCGTGGCCCCCGCACCCCCCACCCCGCGTCGTGTGTGTGTGTGTGTGTGTGTGTGTGTGTGAGAGAGAGACCCGGCC